GCACGATTAAAGCAACACTGCTTGCCAATAAATATCGAAAAATCGTAACATTTAAGAATAATATTTAATTTGCAGTAATTCATACATAAAACGATTTACATCTGCGTGACATTTGAACTCGTAAATATCTAAACGGCCGGAAACTTATAGACGGGACAGCAGAAGTTCGATCTTGGCAGTCGGGGTTCACTGAGCGCGTCAGATAATTGTCAAAGCGTTAATCAAGCGTGCGCCGCGGGGCGAGGGGAAGGAAGACAAAGGGGGCGGGGGAAGAGCAGGCGGCAACGTCCAGGCGTCGATTTCCGACTGTTCGATACGTGAATCGTCCGGGTTCTCATTCCGGATGCGCGAGGGCGACTCGGAGATGATCGTTTCGACGGAGGCGTCGCGCGTCCGGGCGCGTCGTGCCGCGTCGGCGTCGCGACGCCAGGAAAGAGAGAGGCCCGGCCGCGCTGAAAGGGGACGGAGTTCTTTGACGAGAGGTGTCGGTCGAACGTCGGAGCAACGACGACGACGACGACGACGACGACGACGACGGCGCGACGACGGGTTGCGCCAAAGAGACCAGACCGTTCCCCGAGCCGGGGTATAAATTGCAAATTAGTTTACCGTCCTTCGCGAGCTCCGGCTCGTTGGTCTCTCCCCGTCCGTCCGCGCCCCGTCCCTCGCGCTTCTCTAATTTCGCCATGGAGATTTCGACAAATTGGCAGCAAGAATTCGAACGGGAAGCGAGATCGAAACGCGCGGCGATCGGTACAAAGGCTTGCGACGAAAGCGAAAGTACCGGCCGCCGTGTGTCGTCGTCGTCGTCGCGACGGAGTTCCAAGGTCCTATGTTCCATGGTCGTTCGACGGCTGTTCCGTGCTCGAACAATGGGACTCTCCGGCTGGAGACAATGGGACCGACGAAGAACTTTGCGGCGCGACGGAATAAAGAATCGAGTCGCGGAGAGGACGCGGCCGGAGAGGCGAGGCGGCGGGGCTTAAAGGGAAGCGCGCGGCGGCGTGCAGGGGAAAACAAGGGGCCGGGTGGGGCGGTGTTCCCGCAGGACACGACCCGGCAAATGAGCCGGTGGATGCAAATCAATCCCAGGACGCGGCCCTCCAAATTGTGCACCTACGCTCGAATGCGGCAATCCCTTTTCCAGTAGCTGCAGCTGGGAGCTAGGGAGCTGCTACGGCGACGGCAGAGGTGCGGTGGCGGTGGCGGTAGTGACGGTGGTGGCGGCGGCGGCGGCTGTGCCCTCGCCATCGAGCCAACCCCCACCGATGCCCCCCTGGGTACGTCGATGCGACGATGCGACCACGTCGCTCCGCAATGGTGCAACGATCCTACGCTACCGGCTCGCCGGAACAGCCGAGCGACCGAACTATCCGGCACACGCTCGTCGCCCGATGCCCGATGTCGTCGCACCGCTTACCTTTTGTCGATCCTCCTGGATAGCCACCCTTCGTCCGTGCATCCGACACGATATTACGGAGTCACGAACCGTATTGGATCCCGCCCGACGGCGCGCCTCTAGCCACACGTACCGCAGTTAAGTCCCAAACTCTTGGCCGAGCCGTGGATATCTATATTCAAATTCTGCCCGTCGGTCTCTGTACAACTAAGTTGTGCGAACTGTGCTGCACACCGTGGACGAGAATTTTATCCGCGAGGACTCGAGCGTCTCGATTACCGCGAACGACGGGAAAAGACACGCCGCGACGAAGGGCGATCCCGACGAGATCGAACGCCGTCGGTTCGGAGTTCTCTCCTTTTTTTTCCGCGGCAGATCCGCGGACGAAGAGCATCCCGGTATCCCGCGAGTCGGGATTCGCGAGACGGATCGGAGCAGCCGGGGACGCGAGTTAAAAAGCGATCGAGCGGATAAACGAGGCGGCGCGCGGCGCCTCGCGTCGGTGCCGCTGGGAATCGCGCGACGAGCGTGCAGGTTCTCGTCGGTATGCGCTTTAACGTGATTGCTTGCGCTGGCCCGCACGAACGGTCGCGTCCGAACCGGTCTCTGTCGCGTGACAACAACCTCCCAATGAAGGAAACTACGTACAATTACGGTAATTGATCAACATCCGCGATCGAAGCTTTACGACGCGCCGGGCGGAGGAGGAACGGACTATGAAAGATGAGAATGAGAGAGAGAGAGAGACAAGGATAAAGAGACGGAGAGAGGGAGAGAAAGAGAATGGCTAAACGGGGAGGTTGGTTCGGATCGGAGTTCCATCAATTTGCTAATCGAGTTCCCTTTCCGTTGATCTCGTTCTTAGAAAAACTAGCAAGCGTCCCGAAGGATTTGCGAATCCGCCCGTGTGCCGCGATAGCTTTTTTTCCACGCTTCCCCGGTTATTTTTTCCGATCCGGATTTCAGCGGAAAAACGAGGACGCGGGCGGATGCAAAGAGAGAGTGAGAGAGGAGTTGGGTGATAGCTAGAGGGAGCGTCAACACGCTCGATTCTGGCGGTGTAACGAAATCGGATCGAGCTGCAGGACGGTTAATCGGCGATTACTAACTCGATTACTAACTCCGATCGTAGTCCTGGATGAAATCGAGGGGCGCAACAGGCTAGTTCGTTCTGCGCGAACGAGACCGCGTGCCCGCGCCGCGGCTCCGCTAATCCTCGAGCGACAATTAATATTCGTAAAGTAATTAAACGAGCACGGATAGGCTCGCGTTACGATTATACACGGGGGTCGGCTCGACACCTGAAACGCGACGCGCCGCGCCGCTATTCCGTTCCGCTCCGCTCCGCGCCGCTCCGCAACGCGTCGGTTGAGCTCCTCGGATTTTCATCCGGCCCCGCTCCCTTCTGCTTATCCCTCTGTCTGGTAATAGCTTCGGCCGTGCACGCCGAAACGACCTCGTTAATGCGCGCCGACGAAACTCGGCCGACGGAAAATTCGTCGGGGTAATTCGGAGAAACGGGACGGGGGACGCGGAACGCGGAACGCCGCGCCGACGTGCCTTCGAAACGTCGTCGTCGTCGTCGTCGTCGTCGCCGACATCGTCGTCGCCGACGTCATCGTCGCCCAACGCCGCGGTCGTAGTCGTCGATTTTGAGAGACGGGAAACGATCCCGCGCTTGCAGCCTCGGCGCTCTTTCTGCTTCCCCGGCGACGATCGTTTGGATAACAAACCACTCGAACTGCGAGTCACGCTGCGAAAACGCGTTTTCTACCAATTAAATTTTCTTCCCGCCTCCGGTGGCAGGGTGCACGCTACGATATACCGGCGCACACGCACACCCCGACCTCCCCCCCGCGGAAACTTCTCGCTGTCGACTTCTCGGATTCGCTGTCGCGTTCCAGCTACCGCGCCTCGTTAATCCTGAGACCCGCGCGTCGTAACTGGGTCTGTCCCGACCCAGGAGGCCGGAACACGACCGGCTCGATCCGAGGTGCCCGTGATTTTTCACGATCGAGTTAATCGCTGTAAAGTGTTCCTTTCCGTTCCGTTCGTTTCCGACCGGATGATCCCGCGCGTTTTCGTCGACGCGCGAAACACGTTCGCGCGTCGACGAAAATGGTAAAAGGCTCGATTTCGGCGAACGTTCCACGGTAAAGGGAACGCGGCTCTCCCTTACGAGAACAAATTGGTGGAACGTTATTCCGGTTGTACCAGGATGCTCGCGATGTCAGACAGAGCCGCGTTGCTCGGCGGAATACGTTCCGTTGTCCTGTTCCCGTTCGTCGACGAGATTCGCCCGTCGTTTCGCCGCGGATTCCTCGCCCCGGTCTAATGCTAAATTCATTAGCGAACGGAGCTGCCGTCGGTGGAAAAAGCATCGCGGAATATTCGATGACCCCGTTTAATAAAACAAAGTTTTCGCTTCTATCAAGTATGTATTTAAACGTCTCGATTACTTCCCGGCTTCGGAAATAGTTGGCCCGATTTAAAGAGATGATATCCATTAACGATAAAACCAAGAAGCTGCGCGAAGTTTTCTCGCTTGTTTATTATTTAACGGTTCGAACAACGTATTTAACTCGTCCGGGCTATCGTCCGATCAATGTGTCAGTCGAAACGGTTCCATTAGCCCGATGAAATGTTCATAAAACATCGGATAGCGAGCAGTTTGCATATTCTTATTGCGGTAGATACGATTAACGGCGGGAATTGATTATTTAATTATTGTATCATTGACGCGATCTGTGCGCGGAGATGAACAACCTCCTCGTTCGATCGATGAACGATGAAAATTCTGGGAATAAACTTCTGGTAGCCCGCGCTGCAGCCGGACGTTGCTGTCAAACGTAGAAATCCTAACAGATCTGCTTGATATTGGCGTTTAGCAATACATGGACCGTTATCGATACGTTACAGAAATCGCCTCTAAACGCATGTTTGCGATCTCGACGATTATAAAACGAGCAATCCGAAATCCGTCGGTCCGAGCGAACCGGTTCGGTGATTCTAGGGTTAAAAGCGGAGATCCCTATTTCACGTGCATTTAAGTACACCTGTGTGCACGTGTATTCAAGCGTTATTTTCCACGTGTATTTAAATACACCTCTGCACGTGTATTTAAGCGTTATTTTTCACGTGTACTTGTACACGTGTAATTGACAGTTCCGAGCATCGAGCCGCGCGATTCTTGAACCAAAATCGCCCTTCCGATCTACGGTATTTTCATTTTACACGATTTCCAGCATTTTATAAATGTGAAACCGAGTCTTGTGGCTCGTGCAACGATAGCGTTTTTTAACAGTTATCAAAAATAAACAAATTATATACGACGCACAAATAATTTTGGAACGTGATACAACAATCCTTGTTGGCGCATCGAAGTCGCCGCTCTAGTTCAAAGTGTTAAGAACACGGATCTTTCGCTTTTTAACGCGCGATACGCGCGTCCCGCGTCTTTTAACGCGCGTTCAAAATCGCGAGCCCCGATTCGAAGGAACCCGCCGCGTTCGGGAACGGAGGGAGAAGGTATATACCGCATGCAGCTCGTCACCACCGTGTGTAATAATAAACGGTCGTACGGTTTGCTCTCTTGTTCCAGATACGACCTGGGAACGGACAAGCTTTACTCCATCACCTGGTACAAGGATCACGAGGAGTTCTACAGATACGTGCCTAAAGGAGAACCTATGAAGCACAGCTATACCGTGGAGGGCATTAAAGTTGACGTGAGTCGAAAGCTCTCTTGTGTCCCGCAACCGGCGCAGCCTTGTTCCCTCGGTATCTGATCTCCGCAATGCCGCGTTCCGCGCGAACATCGACCGCTCTCTCCTCTCCTTAGGCAGCAGTATCTACGGATTATCTTTGTCCTCGCGAGATCTCTGTTCCGCCGGCTCGTTCGCCGATTAATCGGCCGAGCGAACCGACGAACGAACGAACGAATGAACGAACGAACGAACGAAAGAAAGCAATCGATCGGCAGGGAACGGCAGAGGAACTCTCGCGCTTTTCAAGTGCCTTGAAACTCCGGGAAATCGAGAGAAATTTCATTCCCGAGCCGCTGATAAGAAAGAGAGGGAGAGAGAGAAGAAGAGAGAGAAAGAGAGAGAGAGCGCGAGAGAAGAGCACGCGGAGCGCGGTTACTCGATTCTTTTACCTCGCATCCAACTTTAATATCCGCCTCGCATACAGACTTCTTTGTGCATTACGAGGAGCCCTGGAAACGCGCGCGCAATTACCCCCGCGAATACACGTCGGCGTGGTTCCTGCCGGGACGAGGATCCTGTCTGCCTCGGCTGTCTGCCTCGTATTCGTCGCATACACGTCGAGGGCCGTCCCGAGACATCCGACGAGACCTCTTAACCCGTTAACCAGCTTATCTTTTGACCGTACACGCGCGCGCGCGCCAATCGACGAATTCCAAAGCCTGGCGCCGTGTGACGCGACGACACTCTTCCCGCTTGAATTTCCTCGCCACGACCACGGTTTATATCAATCCGCGAATAAATGAATCTGGGTCGGCTATTTTCGTACTCCCCGCGAATCTCTGTCGGTTAATTAGTTTCCATTAGAATTATTTCGCATAAGAATGGAGAGCCGCGCGCGGCCAGGCGGAATTAAATCGATCGTGTCCATTATTAGCGAATAAGTATGAATTACACTGGTAATAATGTGGAGATTATTGGAACGAATGGACCGGGTAAAAATGAATGTTCATACGAGCCGGTTGAAATGAATGATAGCCGCGCCGAGAGATACAACGGCGCGGCGCGGCTTAATTGAGACGATGTCGTCTCTCTTACGACGCGGTTTCGATCCCGTTCCTCCGTAACAGCGCGCAACACGTTCCCGTAATTCGTGCCGTTTCCACGGTAGCCCGGGGAAAAAGTTCCGACACGCTTTAGAACGGAATAACTTCTTCGAAATTTCCACCGAAGGACCCGAAGTCTTTTCGAGACGTTGGAGGAGAGCAGGTTCGCCGGGTCAATGTCTGGCGAATGTTTCTCAAAAATTGCCGCCCGCTTGGAACGACGACGAGTAGGCGTTCCAGTCGCGTTCTTTGCGAGTCGTTTGTTCCAATTACGAGAAAGTTACGCCGTTTTAAAAGCCGTTCGAACGCGGCTGTTCCCGGAGCCATTGCAACGTTTCGTTTTCGGCGAAGTTGCCAAATTGAAGTTCCGTTGTCGCGCGGACAAAAGCCGAACGAATATTCAGTGGAATCCGAGGAGCGCGCCAGATGTTAACAAGTTAATCGAACCGCGAACGGCGTTGAAGCGGAAACGGCCGCGAAACGGCGCGGACGCGAGGACGTAGCGCGGTGGCCGAGGCGTCGGGAATGGAAACGAAGTCCGCGGAAATTGGCTCGACGATCGTAAAAGAGTCCAGTTAGCTTCACGGCGCGGCCGGATTCGCCGAAAACCGAGCGCTCTCTGCGGAAGACCGTGGGATCCGCGACCACAGTAAGCGGATCGGACGCGGAGAACGCGCGACAGGCCGCGCGCGCGGCTTGGCACGGCGCGGCTCGTCGGTGCGATAAACCGCTAAGTACACGAATATTGGAGTATTCCGCGTCGCGATAAACATAAAGTCCAACTACCGGTCGCTCGTTTCGGTCGCATCGAAACCGTTTCCGCTCGCGGTAACGTCGCTCGCCGGCCGGACGTAAAACGGAAAAGGGTGGCGCTTTCCGCTCCGCTCGGCTCCGTTCCGCTACGCTCCGGTCCGGTCCGGTCCGGTCCGCTTCGTTCCGTTTCCGTTCGATTCGCACCGGACTTGCAGCGGCGGCGCATCTTCTCGCGTTCCACACGGCCCGATGACGTTTTATTCCCGCATTCCGTCGAGCCGACCGAAAGGATCGCCGAGAACCGGAGAGGAGAGAGGAAAGGAGAGAGCGGCGCGAGAGGAGAGAAAGAGCATAAAATTGCCGATACCTTTCGATAGTCGTCGGATGCGCGTTGTGCTCCCGCGACTCTGCGACGGGGTCGATTTTATCGTCCCGAATAAATGTTTGACGAATCGAGAGGATGCGAGAGACGAGCTCGCCCGTCTGCAGTCCGACGACGACGGCGAGGTAGACGAGGGCGAATAGAAGGAAACGGTAACAGGAGACAGACAGACAGAGAGAGAAAGAGAAGGAGAGAGAGAAGCGATACAGTCTCTAGTCCCATCTCGTGGAACCGCGACGCGATCGATCTGACGGATCGCGACGCGTCTCGACGCGAAGCGAAGCGAACCGGTTCTCCCGAAAGTCCGAGAGGAAACCGAGGCGGATCGCGAAACTCGACCATCCTCGTCCTAGATAGCAAGCGGATAGATAGAGCGCGCGGGGTGGCGATACGTCCCCCCCACCCGGTTTCGCCGGGAACAGAAACGGTGTACGTCCGTTTCCGATTCACGTTTTGGAAGGCACGAAAGTTCCGTTTTCCTCGGCGGCGCGCTCGTTAATATCGGCCGACGCGTAACGAGCATTACGTGAGCCGAATCGGCTCATCCCTTTGCCCCGTTCTCGAGATCGAGGAGAGCACGGCTATTAATCTGGCTCGGTCCAATGGCTCTCCGATATCGACAAAGAAATTTCTCCGTGGACAAAAGCGAGCGTGTCTTTTCACCCTCTCCGGCGCGCTCGGCTCGGCTCGGCTCGGATACGCTCTCGTGACACTTATTGGAGTAGCAGGAATTAAGTGGATTTAGCGGGCAGAGTCGTATATTTCTACCGAGGGGGTTCTCGACTTTTAATTTTCTCTCTTGTTCGCCCCTTTTGCTCCGTTACGTAACGCCACTTAATTTTCCTATCTAAAAATTTTTAGTGGCTCCTCTCCCCCTCGCGCGCCCTTCTGTCTGTCCGTCCGTCCGTCTGTCCTCTGTATAGTTTTTCCCGCTCGCCCTTTCCTCGACTGATTTCCTCGCTCCTTTTTCCTCCGTCTTTCTCTCTCTCTCTCTCTCTCTCTCAATCTCTCTTTCTCTCGTTCTTTTTCCGTTTCCCTCTCGGTCCCCCCGTCCCCCGTTCTCGCCGTCCCGTTCTTTCCCTCGGCGGGTTGCCGCGTCGCGGAAACTATTCGCACACGCGGTCGGGTTCCGCGCTGATTTATTTATCCGGCGACCACGAGGGAATCTCCGCCGGAGCGAAAACTCGGGAAAGCCATGATTATCCGTCAAACAGAGCGCGGAATCGTCGCGGGCCGCGGGACAGAGACGGAACGCCCCAGCCGACGAGCATTTTCACCGAACGGAGATCATCCCCTCGATCTTCCGGGAGGGTTAATTCTCTCCTCTACCGTGGCGAGAGCGCCGGAGGAGGGGAGGGAAAAAAAACTGCGGAATCGACCTTTGTCGTTATCCACTCGAACGGATCGACGGAAAAGTTCCACGGCGAAGACTAAACCTCGAACTTCTCGACCTTTCCGGCCCTGCGCGGAAAGGCGAGAGGGGATGAGGCCGCGTGCTACGCTTCCGGTCGGACTTCCGGCCAAATTCTTTCGCGGGAACTTTGCTCCGTTTGTTGCGCGATCCATCCGCAACACGTCTCACTTAGAATTCGAAAACTGCGGTCGGCCGCGGAAAAATACAGCCGCGCCGTATCTTCTTCAAAGTTTTCGCCCGCGGTAACTTTATACCGGATGTGCAAGCATAAACATCGGCCGCGTTCTTGCAACGCGTTCTATATAATAATCTCTTGCGGAGTATGAAACGCGATGGAACAAGAGCAGGGTGGGTAGGAGGGGTGGGTGCGACGTCGGAGCAAGAAACGTTTCGAAAGACCCGTGTAAATGAAGACGGTGTAACACGGATCATAAAGCAGACAATGCGCGCTTAGAATATCGCGTTCGCGGAAGTCGGACGGATCCGACTATCGTCGTTGCTCGGAACGATTTAGATATGCTCGCCTCGCAATCTTTTCAATGAAACATTTCGAGTTCTTTCCTTCGAAGCATTGATCCCCCGCCGCCGATGCCGCCGCCGCCGCATCCGTCCGAACATCCGCGAATTTATCCGTGTCATCGGAAATCGAATATGCATACACGGGGAATACGTAATGGAGAATCGTAAAACGAAATGGATAATGCGCATTTAAGACATTGCATTTTCCGAAAGCAGTCCGTTCACGACTATATGGACTTTTGATGTCATACGGCGTGCAGCGGAACCGAGACCGCTCCATTTACAACGGTATCACTCTTTTAAAATAATGACCGAAACGCTTTGTTTTTTACATTTCGCTATTCCTAAACGCTTCCGATTTTTTTTTAACTATTTTATCGGAACGAAAATTTGTAACATTCGTTTCTCGTAAATCTCGGCGACTTGCACGCGTACCGAGACTCTCGTTGAAATCAGTTGACGCATGATCAAGGTTATTTGTAGCATGTCACTTGTATGCATGTCGAGGTTATTCCCAGCTGGTAAAAGATGCAGAAATCGCCTGCTGTTTACGGGAAACTGCTGTTTTCGCGAGCTTTAAATGTTAACGGTTCAGAACCGATTTCAATGCAATTTTCGGTATGCGTTTCATTTATTAATTACCGTTGCTCTAGGATTCTATAAAAAAGTCAAAAAACGAGAGTATTTCATCTCCTCCTTTCCCTCGAGTGACAGCAAAGTTAAAAGCAAGTATTTTAGTCGTCGTACAAGAAAACTCGACCTACTAAAAATTTTAAAAAAATTTTCAAGTCGTTCGGTGCAGTTTTAAAAAATGTACAGCAAATTCTCCGCAATTGTCTCTCAGTTTGCA